TACTTTTCAATTTTAATTTACAAATATATGATATTCAATATACTCACAAAATGAATGACTCGGCTAATCTAATTTATATTCAAAATTAATCAACTAACTACAATAAGAACATATAATTTTATAATAATAATAATAATAATAATAATATTAATAATCTATTTAGTTTTATATATATAAACTAGAGGTTGACCCAAAGCATATTGAAAATAAAAAGAAAATATTAACCCATTACAATTTAATTCTTTTTAGAATTTATATATATGCATGCGACTTCAAAATATTATCATTATATTCATTTATGTAATTTTGAATTAAACACTTCAGCTTATTATTTATTTCATTTTAAGCACAATATATATATATATATATATATATATATATATATATTAAGTTATACATAATTTAACTATAATATATTTACATATATAAAGACAATAACCATCCGAAATGAAAATAAGAAAATTAATTAAAGTTTTATTATATTTAGAATAAAAAATATTATAGCTGAATTCAAAAAATAAATATTATCTAATATACCAAATTGATAACCAAACCGACTATTGATAAAAAAAAAATTAAACCGGTAATAATATATCCAAATTCATATGTATAATTAGAATAATATAATATTTATTAATATAAATTATACATATAAATTGATTAAAAACTAAAACTAAATATCAATCAATTATTTATTTCATTTAAGCACAATATATATTAAGTTATACACAATTTAACTATCATATATTTACATATCTAAGAATATAGTTACATAAAGACAATAACCAACCGAAATGAAAAGAAAGAAATTAATCAAATTTTTATTATATTTAGAATAAAAGATATTATAGCTGAATTCGAAAAATAGATATTATCCAATATACCAAATTGATAACCAAACCAACTATTGATCCGAAAAATAATTACACAGACAATAATATATTCAAAGTCATATGTATAATTAGAATAATATAATACTTATTAATATAAATTATACATATTAATTGATTCAAAACTAAAAATAAATATCAATCAATTATTATAAAATTTTTCTTTTATGAATATTCATACCCGTGCATGAGCACGGGAAAATCACCTAGTATCTTATAAGTAGAGACTCCAAAATAGAAAATCCAAAAGAAATGTCATTTTAGAAAATAAGAGATTAAGGGGTATACGTTATGTTAAGGAAAATAATAGCATGCCTTTTCGCTGTTTTCAGAAGATATGATGTGGACTTCTTGACAGCATCTCTAGTTCATACTTACCAAGGAGGCATTACATCCGGGTCTCTTTCACTTCGTTTTTCAACGGATGTCTATATCAATTCTCTTTTAGCCTATTCCGCCTTCATCGGTTTGAGTCATATGGATATTATGTATTCGATGGTTAACTATCCTCTAGTCCACCATTAGTTTAGTATGGTTTAGTTTCTTTTTGGTTAAACCACTTATGCATAAATAATGATTCAATAATGATCTGTAGAACACATTTCTGATAATGATAAATATTCAATTACAAATTCATCTTCTTCAATTGATTTTGATTCTTTATAAATCTTAGATAAGATTTTAAATATTAATCGTTCCCACTGAGACTTAAGGTGAACGCACCCATAGCCTAGCCTATGTTTTCAGATTTTAAAATATAATTTATTATACTGTGTAGATATTTTTGTGCACATGTACCCAAATATGTCAAGTTTTAACTAGATACTAATTGGTAATGATCTAATAATAGGTGAACTTTGAATTGATGAGCAACTCGAATTTGAAGGTATTCTATTATACTTACGTGGCTACATATGGTTTAGAGCTCAATTGAATACCCAAAAAAAAAAGTTTATCTATAAATCGCACTTACCTCTTAGAGATTAGTCTTTGTAATAAAAAAAGAACATGGCAAGTGGAAACAAGTAAAAATGGTCCCTACATTATCGTCGAACGCTTGACACTTGAATGAGCAGAAGGAGCCACACAAATCAAATGCAGATTTCCCTCGTAGAACGAGCCACAAACTAGTCATTGCCATCAAAACGTCACCTGTTGAGCCATTATCTATCTGTTCGTTAGCAAAAAAGATACTAAATATTTTAAGTATTTAAATATTCGATTCCTCAACTATTGTATTTCACTTGATATAATACTGACCATTAATTATACATCTTAAATATTAGAAAATTATCACTACTTATCTAATCTGGTTTTAAATCTAGGTGGTTATCATGATGAGATGTTGATCACTCCACCTCTTGATATTAGTCGGAAGACACTACAAACTCGGATCAAATAATGTGATAGTCAATTTACTTTATAGTACTAATTACATTTTTTTCGGGTTAACCGTATCAATCTATCTGTTTATAAAAAACAATAAAAAAATATTATATTTCATTAAGCGCTTCCTTAAAATGGCATCGATCGTTGTATTAGTTATTCCGGTACTGATACTGACTACCACTAATGAGAAAATACTTTTTGTATGAACTGATCAGTGGTATGTGTTTGTCTATTACTTAATCTTTCCCGTTTTTAAAAAAAATGCGTAATTGGTTCCACGCGTACCACTCAGAAATATGCATGCAAAATGCAGTTGCCATACAATGTTTTAATGTATGTTGTTGTATATTAGTACCTTTCATGGGGGACCGTCCACATAATATTTAAATTTGTTTCCTTATAATGGACAAAAATTACATTAATCTTTCTAGGTCTATAAAAAATGCGTAGTTGATGCCACGCATTATACTCAGGAATATTTATTATACACGAATAAAGATGCTCTGTATAAATTACTATACGAAAATAAATATGCCAGAAAGTCTTAAAAATAAAGATGATTTGGAAAGACGCTTATAAAAAGCGTTTTGTTGTACAATGAAGACATTAGAGAATCATACTGAAACGAGTAGTTGGAGAAATAGTAATGGCGATCCTGAATTTGACACCTTCCTCAATGTTCCCGGTGACCATTGATTCAGCTCGAAGAACAAGAGTTAGAGGTTCTGTCATCAAAATGCAGAAGAGTCTCATTAACACGGATCCTCCTGCCTCGCCTGGTTTCAGCTTATGTACGTGTGGAAGAAAACATTTCCTAGGAGAAGCTACGACGCCGTTTCTTCCAATCTCTCCTTCATATGCTGCTCCATCCACTGCTCCTAACTCAACGGTTGCTAGTAGTGAACTTTGTTGCTAAATTATAGAAGAAGAATACCTATTTTCTCAAATTAATTATCCATATCTTCGTTTATATCAGGAAGTATTGAACCAGTTGCGTCCTCCTAAGCCTGACTGGTATTTTGAGCTATATGGTTATTTTAGGAGTGCAGGAATGGAAAGATATGAGAAAGAGGTTAGTTACTAGCTATATGAGTTTGCATGCATTCTTTCTTAGTTTCTTACGTTCCATTCTTCTTGTTTTGTCAGATTGCTGTTTACAAGAGGAAACTCTTTGCAAATTTGGTGGGAAAAGCAGAAACTGTTTTGGAGATTGGTATTGGAGCTGGTCCCAACATCAAGTACTACAACAATATTCCAAACGTCTCTGTTCTTGGTGTGGATCCAAACCCTAAGATGGAAAGTCACGCACGCAAATCCGCTATAGAAGCAGGAGTGAAATCAGAAAACTTCAAGTTCATTCACGCGGTACGTAATAGCTTTCTTTATTATATATGTTGTGTACAAACGTAAATCAAACAATAAGATATACAGAACAAAATAAAGAAAATGAAATTCGATTGAGGCAAATACTTTGTTTTAGGGTTTGTATACTGATTATCTTATTTAATTATTTACAAATATTTAAACTCCGTATTTATAAAGCCTCAAAACATGATATTCTTTTTCTCTTTAAGAAAATTTTATTTTCTAATAAAATCGATTTTCCTAACTCTAAAAAATACTTCACCGGGGACTAGTACACTTAATTTAATTCACCTCCGGAATCAGCATATTCTTCAGTTCTCGCTGCATCCCTCTGACGTTACAATTTCTTGTTAAAAATAGGTCGCAGAATCTATGCCATTAGAAGATGCATCAGTAGATGCAGTTGTGGGAAGTCTTGTGATGTGTTCTGTCACGGATATACCTCAAACACTCAAAGGTAATAACTGTTTAACTCTCTTCAAATCGAACATCTTACTTCAGATGTCAGATCAAAATGAAGAAAAAAAATACTCATCACATAATTTTGTACATGTACAGAGATAAAGCGGATCCTAAAACCAGGAGGACTTTACCTCTTCGTGGAACATGTTGCAGCAGAAGGTCCCTCTTTTTACTCATGACGAATCCATCAGCCCTTAACGCAAAAATGACATAATCCAAAACGTTTTGTTTTGTTTGTTTTGTAATGAGCAGATGGAACATTTCTGAGGATGGTGCAGAATGTGTTGGATCCATTACAACAAGTTGTAGCGGACGGATGTCATCTAACGAGGAACACAGAAGACTATCTATTAGAAGCTGGGTTCAACGGTGGTGTAGATATCAACAAGGTCTCTCTTTCTGCCTTTTACCACTTAAGCCCTCATCTTTATGGAGTTGCTTATAATTAAAAAAAATAAGCTGGGGAATATCTGAACTCAGCAGCTCATCTTTGGACTTAACACAACGCTTTCTTTCTCTGTTGAAAATATCAATGTTTTCAAAGCTCTGTTTATATATCTCTGTTTATGATCTAGTGTTTGTAACTGAATAATGCTTCATAAGCAGAAAATAATGTAAAATTATCAACTTTATAAAAAATTAAAAGGGTACTATTTTCTACTTTGTTTCTAAAGCTCTGTTTTGATTCTAAAGTATGGATTGAGTCTGAGTTTTTATGATCTAATGTTTTATAACTGAACAATGTTTCATAAGCACAAAATAATGAAAATTTAGGAGAAGTTCGGAACTTTGTATCCTAACCAAATAAAAAAGGGTAATTAAGTAACGTTGATTTTCTTGAAAAAGACGTGGGACATAGAGGTTAAACATGTGGATGGAACTACATCTTCTTCACCTTCCTCACTCTTATCCTTGGTTTTGATTAATATGAGTAGTTGAACTTTTTTAATTTAACAATGGCGATCCTTCACTTGTCACATTCTTCACTGATCTCGACTATTACATGTTCACAAGATTCCGTCAAAACACAGAAGACACTTATTGCGACAGACTCTGTCTCGTTCTTCAGATTATGTCCATGCGGAAGAAGGCATTTCATAAAAGGAGCTATGACTTCTATGCCGCTTCTTCCCATCTCTCCCTCCTACGCTGCTTCTAGCTCAACGGTTAGTCTTGAAGAAATTTAGGGTTTATCTGGAGTGCATGGATGTCCCTCTAATCATCTAAATCTCTTTATATCAGGAAGATTTGAAGAGGTTGCGTCCTCCAAAGCCAGACTGGTATGATGAGTTTTTTGCTTGGTCTATGGATACTAGTATGGAACCGTATGAGAAAGAGGTTTTACTCTCTCACTTTCTGTAGGCGTTTTGATGTCATTCTTTTGATTGTTCAATCTTTGTGAATGTTATTGTACTTGTCTTTGTTAGCTTTCGAGTTACAAGATGAAACTATTTGATAATTTGGTGGGAAAAGCCGAAAAGGTTTTGGAGATTGGCGTTGGAACAGGTCCCAACTTCAAGTACTACTCAGCTATTCCAAACGTTTCTGTTCTTGGTCTGGATCCTAACGCTAAAATGGAGAGTTATGCGCGTAAATCCGCATCGGAAGCAGGGCTGAAACCAGAAGATTTCAGCTTCATTCATGCGGTAACTTTTGTGATATTCATTGATCCTTCTTGGCATCTCTTGATGCAACGTTTCTTGTTAGGTCGCAGAAGCTATACCATTAGAAGATGCATCGGTTGATGCAGTTGTAGGGACTCTCGTGCTTTGTTCTGTCGCAGATGTCACACAAACACTCAATGGTAGTTTGCTCACTTCCCTTTAATCTTAAGGAAACAATGCTCAAAAGTAGGTTTGGTTTATATGTTTTATTTACAGAGATAAAACGGGTTCTAAGACCGGGTGGGGTTTACCTTTTCATAGAACATGTTGCAGGAGAAGGTATATCTCCTTTGAATATTCATCTGAGTCCATTGTAGAATAGTTGAAAGTTAAATCCAGCTTTTTGTTTTTATGATGTGTAGATGGATCATTTTTGAGGTTGGTGCAGAATGTGTTGGACCCATTGCAACAAGTTGTTGCCGATGGATGTCACTTGACGAGGCACACCGGAGATTACATCTTAGAAGCCAGGTTCAATGGCGGTGCAGATATCAACAAGGTCTCTCTGTCTAGCTTGGCTTACTTAAGCTCTCATGTCTATGGGGTTGCTTACAATTAGAAGTACAGGACGGGTGTCTTAGACTCATACCTTAAGGTATGATGATGATTGTAAATATTCAATGGTATAAATAAATTTAAACCATGCTTTGTGGCCTATTTTATAGAGTATGGATTAGTCTAATATCCACATGGGTGTCATTGTTGATTATTTTAGAAGCTTTAGTCTTGATAACTCGACGATGCCCTTTCTTCCCATATGTTCTCCTAGTGCTTCACGATCCAAGGTGATTTATATTTCTTTTCCCGTGGATGCATTGGCACCAACGTGGATTTACATGTAAAGAATGTGTTTTTTTTTGGCAGCTCTTTGTTATAAGTTATAACTTGTAAGTTTGTAACACAAGTCTCCCATGATAAACGCCTGAATCGCATCTCCTTTAGCTAATTGGAGGCAATTATTGAACCTTTTTAAACAGTATGTGGTGTAGTGGTTGGATTTTTATTAAATCATCTTTTAATCTTAAGAAAAAGCACTGAAAACTTTAAAAAATTAAAAAAAACTTCGTTTGTCAAATTCCAAAATTTTCATTCTTGTGAATGTTTCTGAATGTTTCTGTACAAGATGTCACACTGACATCTGAACTTGCTAAAGGTTGGTACCCGTTTACTCTCACTCGCCTACTCTGTGTTTACTTATGTTTTCTACACTCGTCACTCTTAAAGAAAATTATTGCAATCAAAGAGTTTAAGCAAGAAAAAGAAAAGAGTTTAGAAGAGAGACTAAAACCTAACAAATATACGCATTCCATCTTCAAATTCAGGGGCTGCTGTTATTTAGCTTTTGCCAAAGTTCATGCTAATGCATTCTAAAGTTTAAATACCAATTTTTTATAAATATATAAAACATGACCAAAACTAATATTTTGGTTTCATTAATATACTTTACTTTCTTTAGGCTAAGATATCATATAAAACAATCAAAAGTTTATATTAAAAAACAACGTTATAATTATGGAAACAGGCCAAAAAATCCAGTATTTTTACTAATATGGATGGTCGGAGGAGTCTTCACAGAGTTGGTTTTGCGACCCTCTCACCGGAGCTGCTATCTTCTATGGAGATTCACAAACTTCTCGTTCTCAAAACCCATTAGTTGGGTTATTCAACGTCGTTTTCGACTTCTTTGCGTTTCTTCAAACGCAGGTTTTAGGATTACAAGTGAAGCTTCTCTACGGGTCTCTTCTCTCCGGGTCTCTTCTCTCCTTAGCTACATCTATCTCTAGTTATGTTTCAGTTATTGTTGTTTATCAGTTTACCGTCGAGGATCTCTCCGGTTGTAATCGACTTGGTCATTTGGACCTTTTATTTTAATATAAGCAATTGGTGTTAAAAAAAAAAAAGGATGGTCGGAGGAGGAATCTAAATTAAAAATTCCGTTCCAATACCAAAGTAACCTAACCAGTAGCTAAGAAACCCAACCCACCAAGTAAATAATTGGGCCAAAGACCGGCATTTACGCACAACAATACTGTTCATGATGAAAGTCGAACTCAGGAAAATACAAGTGTTTATTGTTTTATTTAAAAAAAAAACTATTAGTGTTTAATTCCCTAGACTACTGACTACATAATATATATGATGGCACGAAATACCTTACTTCTCTTGCCGGTAAAAACATGTATAATTAGAGACCACAGAAAAGAAAATCCAAACGAAATTCCATTCAAAGTAAGAGATAAAAGGATTATCCGTTAAGATAAGGAGAATAAAAGCATCGCTTCTCACTGTTTTCAGAAGATATGATGTGGGCTTCTTCAGTCTGAAGCAACCGACGAAATAGAAACAAAAGCTTACAAACATGTTACATGTTCCCAAAGTTGCACATGAGAGGGTTTCACGTCATTGTCCGACTATCTCACCGTTCATTTTCAGCGTACCCAGCGCTCCAATTTTTTTCACTTTTTCAAAATTTCTAAGCGGTTTATCACGTCATTTTTCCTTTATCTCTCACATGTTTTCTATTAAAATAATGTAAGGCCTATGTATGTCATCTTTAGTAATACACAAAAACAAACCACCGATCAATTCATACATAAAGTTTTTTCCAAAAGACACAAAGTCTTTGCTCATTATGTTAGTTAGAATCATTAGCTACCGGAATAACTAATAGTCGTCGACATTCTGAACAACATATTGAAATCTTGAAGTTTTGACTTATTTTTATAGTAAAAGATGGATCCATTTTAAATGGAATATTTTCTCCAACTAGTAACTAATGTAGTAAATGAAATACAATAATTGATAAAATATTTACTAATGTTTTTTGGTACAAACAAATAGATAATGGCTCGACAAGTGACGATTTGATGAGAATGACTAGTTTGTGGCTCACTCTACGAGGGAAAACTACATATTTTTGTGTGGCTCCTTCTGCTAAATCAAGCATCAAGTGTTCCACCATATGTAGGGACCAAATTTACTTGATTCCACTTGACAAGCTTGGGGTTATCTGCACAGAAAATAGATTTATACAAAACAAGAAATCGTCAGAATCATTAAACTAAAATATTTTATCTAAAAGTGTAGCTTATTCGTGAAATATTTGTCTGAAAACATAGGCTAGGCTTGTGGGCTTCACCTTAAGTCTCACTGGAAACGATTAATATTTAGAACGATAGTTAGAATCTGATCTAAGATTTTATAAAGAATCAAAACCATTGACATTTTATCAAACAAAGACGAGTTGATGCGAAAGCTTTTTATTTATTTGGTCCCAGCTTAGATAGCCATGTTCGTAGATATTGTTTAAACGGAAATTATTTATTTTTGTCATGCATACTGGTGGCTTATTTTATTCTAGAATCCTTTTATTAAGTTATAGAAAAATGGACTCTAGAAGTATATATTTCAAAGAAAACTACTGTGTTAAAATGAAATTTAAAACTATTGTGTTAGAGTATATATACTTTTTGAAAGAAGTGTTAGAGTATATATACTAGGAATAGTAATATGTGAATCTAATTTTTCTTTCAACAAAGAGAAAGCAAAAGTACAGTTAGGTTTAAGGCATGCTTAATGAGTTATTTTACATGTATTGGGTCGCTATTGGAGGTGCAACTTGGTTTTAACTTGAGCATTGGCAAACATAAGGCTATTTAAAGAGCCACTTTGAAAAGGAACATAAAAACTAAAGAGACATCATCAAAAACAATATATGGATACAGAGTTATAAAGCAATACTAAATTTTGATTCACATCCGTGCATGTATTTATTTTAACTTTTAAAAACATACATTTTACATAAATATTGTGCTAATTTTATTGTATAGTCAGACTTTTAGCGCATATAATATTATTAGTATTACAATAAATAAGTAAGTGATTATTTAAATTATTATTTATTTTATGTGGATTTTATATTATTTATATATATTAGTATTTAAAATTTTGAAAATAGTAATTATATATAATATAAGCGAATACTTACTTTTGGATAGGAAAAGATTGATATGTTTTAATATAAATGGTTAAATGATTTTATATTATTTTATATCATATTATTTTTATTAATTTATATATACAATCAGTTACAGATAAAATTTATTATTTTTAACTTAAAAAATTATTCAAATGTATTAACATTTACAAAAATCATTAATGTTAACCATAAATAATAGTAATTGATTGTATTTTAAGTAAAATTTCGTTAAAAATAATTACCATTTAAAATTAGGAATAGTTAGTTTTTAGTGATATTACATGTAACTAAAAAGTTATTCTAGTGGTTAGTTCTTATTGATATTTCAATTTTAATAAGATAGATATTTAAAGTTCAAAAAAGGGAAAAAGAAACAAAATATTTTAGATGAGATAATTAAGCTGTATTATAAAGATCAAACTAAAGCTAACTTGTGTTGTTGGTAAGTTGATATTGATATATAGTGTTTTTATAAGTTTTTATTGTCATATTTTAGTTCATATTATTTATATAGATTGCATAATAGGTGTATATATTGCATTTGCATGCATATTGCATATTATAGGGGTTGGAGTGCACAATTGGAAGTTTTGGGCGAAATTGAAGGTTCAATTCTGCAAATTTGAAAGTTCAGGGTCAAAAGTAAAGAATACAAGAATGCAGGGACCAAGACTGCAAATCAGTAATATTCGCTGGGTTTAATTTGCACAATCTAAAGTTCAGGGCTTAATTCGTGGGCCTTTCTTTAAGTTCCAAAGGTTCTGGGGTTGAAGTGCAAAGAAGCAAAACGTTGGGGACTGGATCTGCAAATAACCAAAACTTGGCCATGGTTGTGTTCGATGAGTTTTCACGGCGAGGCTGTAAGCGAAGCGACGACGACGGCTATGGACGATGGAGCTCGACACCACGATATAGACGGCGAGGATGAGCAACGGTGAGCCAACGACGAGAGCTTCGGCTTGGTGGTGATGCGGCTTGGAGGAGACGGTGGCGCAGTCATAGATTGGTCACACCATTACCGGAGATGCACGAGCTCGGCCACGATCTGAGAGCACACAGCTTGGAACGATGGAGGAGAAGCTCGAGCTTGGCTATGGAAATGGAGGAGAAGCTCGAGGGAGGCAGTGAGCTCACCGTGAGTTGAAAGCACAAGGAGGTGTAGCCGCTGTGGCTAGTTCAGAGCGGGTAACACACAGCGGGTTGGTGAAGTCGCCGTATCATGGGCGTGAGCTGGAGCGGGTGATTGCAGCGAGGTGATGCCATCGCTGGGAAAGTAGCGAGCTTGGGAGCGGCTTGCTGGAGCGAGACGTGAAGGTCGCTGCGAACTGAGATGTGAAACGTTGACCGGTTTGACCCGGTTTGACCCGGTTTGATTTAATTAAACCAGCACGAATTTGGACTCTCCTATATATAGTTTTAGATCCCAAAAACCCTAATCTATCTCATTTTCTCTCAAGAACTTGTTTTTAATTGTAAAAGCTTGAACATTTTTATCATTTTAAGGAAGTATTTCATCTTATATATCTTGTTTCTCATTCTCATTAACATGATTAGCCTTGAATTCATCATGGATTTAAGGTTTATCATGGAGATTTTTGAGTAGACAATTATAGAATCCATGGGTTAGGTAGATTTAGGATAATTAGTGAAGGGTTAAGGTGTTTATTGTTAGATCTACTTGTTTCTATGCTTACTAAGTGTTTTTAATGCTAGATTAGACTTGATCACTCTCATCTAGACCTTAAGCTATTTTATGCCCGGAAGGTGTTTGTTAAAATGCTTGAATGAACTTAGTATTGCTCTAAACTTACNTAAGAAAGCTTAGATGGTTAGTAGACTAAATCATAATGTTTGTTTAGATAACATTCAACCTAAGAGATTAGATGCTTGAGTTATCTTTGCAAAAGGGCATCCATCTTGAGAAAGAGTTTGTCTATTGAAGTGTCTAGACCTATAGAGACTTGTGATTGCTTGAAGCTTGCA